GAGGAAAACGAGTCGTACAAGATTATAAAATCCTCATCACTAATAAGATCAGCATCGTAGTAGAGAAGAAGGGTCTGACGAAACTCTTTAAAACTGGCCATAACCGGAGCAGAAACAAAAGTATATCAGGAACAGAGGATGGCCGCGTCCTGGCAAAACAGCATCCGTGCTTAACAAATTAACATTTGGCGGGAGAGCGACGACGTCAAACCCAGGCCGTCGGGAATCTGACGGCGGCGTCGTCCCCGAAGTCTCTCCTGCTTAAGCTCCCTATTACGTGATAGCTGCGTGGCCACTTTCGCAAGAGTTATCCAATCAGATAGCGCGTAAGAAACTAGCGAATCAAAAATGGGTACACAAACAGCGGGATATCGGAACAAGCTTTTGGGAGCCATTGCGCAGACTGTTTACACCGGCGGTTTAGACTGTCCGCGACGCAGGCTACACTTTGTCATGACAGCCAAATTCCTCAAAGGTGACTACTTTTATTTTCAAAGGATTATTCTAAGAAATTGTCATGTGTAAACGTATAACAAACAACTATAAAGCGACCGTCTTCGGCGCGTGCACCGATAGATAATCGAAAAAGTTAAGAGAGGCCCTTTCTATAAGTAATGCAATCATTTAGAGCGACGTTCATCGCTTTTTGTTCAGTCACCGAACAAAAACTTCTGATTTTAAAGCAATCAAGTTGTCATGTCAACTTCAATACGAGTGAGATATATTGACGTTTAAGGCCGCTTTTAATTACTGATTTAATGAAGCTTAAAGAAAAAACACTTGATATCGATAAACGTCATCCTAAACGAGGGTAAAAGCAGTTTAAAGAATAAAACAGCGGCAGTGAAGGTGAGTAACAAATAATTTTACGACTTTGAAAGCCTTTCATTGGAAGTGGAAGTCATGGACCAATTGGTTAAACGCTGTTCCCAGCTGTGTTATATTTTGGGTTTCTCCGAAGCTCTTAAATGGAAAATCCAAAATGCAGAGAGGACGTTTTTAAAATGAAAAAAAAAGTTTTAATCAAAAGAAACATGAATCATTCTTCATGTTGGGGAAATTCATAGCCATGCGGTTACTGTTACTGGAGGGGACACCAGATCTCACTCATGTTACAACGACGGGAAACAAATTAGATGAGGTAGCTGTCTACAAATAATTTTAAAGCGCGCTTCCGGGGATAAATATAACATATTCGATTCTAAGAACTCTGAATCTCAGTATCAGTCGATAAACTTTTGGAATTTTTTCTTTGCTTGGACGGAACCAGAACAGGAGAAATCATCAGAAAGTTCTGCATGAAATTTGCAACCAAGCTAAAGCAAACAAAGAAACGGGTGAAAATGGAAATTTTGAAATGTTTTATCAGCCGTTGCTGTACTTAAGCGAAAATATTGAAATTTACTTTGCGAAAAAAAAAACATATTTCAACGAGATTGACCCAAAAGTAATGCAGCAATTGTAGCCTGAATTGTTTTGTTCATGATTTAATTGTAGCTTGGCAAGATGTTCAGTTCTACGTGGTAAGGCTTTCAGCGTTCACTATAAATATGAGCGCAGAAGATCCCGTAGAGAACAGCACCTGGATTGCCGTCTTCATCGCCGAGTCTGTTGTGATCGTTGCAACTAATGCTTTCACTCTGATAGCCTTTGCAAAAATCCGCCATCTACGCAAGCGCAGTACTTACCTGATATTAAACCTGGCCGTGGCAGATTTCTTGGTCGGCGCCCTTACATTGCCCATATCAGTATCCTACTTCTATAGAAACGAAGATGAGAATTATTTCACATTTTCAAGAGTTATTACAACTACCCTCGTGTTCGTCTTCCCTTTAGCTTCACAAGTGAATCTCTGTTTGATTTCCATGGAGCGGGTACATGCAACTCTCTTCCCATTCAGACACTGCTTGATTAGAAATTGGTTCTACTATAGATGCATCATGAGCAGTTGGTTGATAACCTTTATCTTGGCTTCTGTTATGGTCTGTTTAGACATAGGAGATGTACATCCAGAGTTCTTGTACGTACATGGTGCACTGATTATGCTTTTTCTCATATGTGTCGCAGTTTCTCACATCATGATTATCACAAGAATCCAACATAGCCTCCATTCCCCACCTCGTGGCTCAATCCTTAAGGAAAGAAAGCTTACAGTAACACTTTTTATAGCTACTGGAGTTTCTTTTGTAACCATTCTCCCATTTGCCATATTCTCCTCCCTACCAGTCGCTACACAAGAAAAATTAACACATTTTTCAGTTAATATTGACTTTACATTGGCTGCACTTTACTACTGTAGTTCCGTTGTAAATCCTTTCGTGTACGCTATTCGATTGCAGGAATTCAGAAGGGCAATGTGCAAGTTTTTCTAAATTATTTGAAGAGACACGGTCGGCACAACAAAAAAACTTTGTCATTATGCCTTTCCGGTCAATTCAGACCCAAGACGACCCTTGTGTGCTTTTTTTTAATGGCCTCTTTGCATATCTGTGGCTTGTGTTTTATCTTTGCTAAGAATAAACCAACCAAAAAAAAAAAAAAAACTAGAGTGTACACCCTGACAGTGCTTGAACTTCATCTTTCTCGTCTTTTCCCTTACAATAAATTGCAAATTTTAAACTAGCATTTTGATAGCCAGGAAAAACTCCAGCAGTGCGACTTTATATTCTCTCTTTGTATGACGTCACCTCTGCGTGTAAGAAATAGAGAGTAGCACGTGAGGGCGCGTAAGTATGAAATTTTTCTTCGAGTGTTCAACCCGAGAGCGTATGAGTGAGTGTAGCGAACGGGTGAGTTGAACACGGTAAAGTATTATTTTGTTTCTTATGGAAACACAACAGGCTTTTACTGACAAGAAGGTCGATTTTATTGATGAATAAAAAAAAAATTTGGATCCACAATCCGCGAAAAAAAAAATCGTAAAGTGTGTCAACAATTAGACTCAAGATGAGCGTAACTTTTAATTAAACTCTTTAACGTCACTTTCTGTAAACGATAATTTTTAAGTGTTTTTTGCCATAATCCGGAAAGAGTTAGACAAACGACACAGATTGAAAACAGTGAACGCTTTGCCATTTATTCACCAGCTTGACAGAGTGGCGCGAAAGCATAGTGACGAGTCAGCAGCTGATTGGCGATAACAATCACACGAGAAAATTATTGTAATTTACATGTGTGCCGTCACGACTTTTCCCAGGGCTAGATATCCCTGTAAAACAACGCAGTTTATATAATAAAAAAATGTTGTCAGCAGGGGTGAAGCAACGAGACAGTTCCAGCAAGAGCTCCCTCAAGCATAGTAAAGACAGTGACAATGCTGAGTGATAAGATGGCTTCTGGGCCAAAGGATACCTTTTACCTTAATGCCTAACCTTCGTTACTACAGTCAAATCCCGCGAAGGTAAAATACTTATCTTAGAAAGAAGAGGGAGTGGAGAGACTTTTGTCTAAAGTGATGACATAGCTAATTGCTTGGTCAGGAAACAGTCATATTTTCCGATTACCATGAATTTCCAATTTCCATGAAATTCCAAGGTAACAACAAAGGAATTGTAATGTTCTTGACTCTAAAGTGATCGATGTCTGACGTTTAGGGCCGTTTTTAATTTAGTTTAATTTAAATTCAATTTAAGTTTAGAAGGAAACCCGCTTGATATCAATCAACTGTCATCCTGCATGAATATAATGCACGAGAAAGGAAGTTTTATTCACATTCAAATGAAGTATTAGAGAATAGAGTCCTAGTTGAAGGCACCGAGGAAGGTTAGTTAGAAATAATTTTCAGAAGGTGAAAATGATTCATTCGAAATTATAGTGACGCATTTTAAGGGTCAGGTAGTGTTCATAAAATCTAAAATATCATAAAAGCTGCATTACCATTCTAGAATATGTTACTTTCAGCGAGACTTTCTTGTAAATTATTCTAAACTCCATGCAGAATATTTTTCATAGAATTACAAACGAAGGTCACTGAACAACAAGGAAAGAAAAATCAGTTCATGACATATCCAGGCTTACAGATATGAATTTGGCTGAGGTGGCTGTCGCTTTAGCTAGTTGAAACATGCTTTTCCTTTCCAAGTCCAAATAAGGCGGTTTAGATAAAAAAGCCGACTGCTTTTAATATCAAAAAGCGTTTACGCGGTTGAGGCTGACTTATCTTATATTACTACTGCGGTCGTGTGTAATTTTTTCCCCCAGTGCAGTTTGGAATTCTTGCCGTGGCCTTCCTGTGAATTTCTTGGCTCAACAGCAGTTGAATGAAGCATGACAATTACAACAACTCAAAAAAGAAGGGGACATTTTCATTTGCTATCAGACTTTCAGACACCAAAAATATTTTCGTTTTCTTTAATTAGGAAGCTCAGTTGCTCTTTATGTCGGATCAGTTTCACGATTATTCGCAAAGGCGAGAAAATAGTCCTTATCCGGTTGCCGTTCCGTTTAAGAAGCTGGGTCATGAATCGTAATTGGCCACTAGGAGCCAAGAAACTGGCGAGAACGACGCGTCGCAAATCTTCGACGTGGCGGCCATTGTCGTCATGTTTCATATAACCTGTTCACTACTGCGCTATTGTTGTTGAATATTCTATCGATAACTTCATTCCACGATTTTATGCCGTCATTTCGTCGAACACTGGTTGCAGGAGAACTTCATCTGTCTGCTTCGAGGTTTTCTTGCGTAGAGCATGAGGAACATAAAAAATTCAGGAAATAAACATTTTTCCTTTACAAGAACTTAGGTATTCGTTAACCGGTTAAATAGATCTTCGAGGCCGCTGACATACCCTGCAACATTGGTTGCAAACTGCTGCAAACTTTACGCAGATAAGAAGCCACCAAATGTTTAAAATTGAACTGTCTCCGTAAAATTACTACCTTTGTCCTCCTTATTGATTTAGTTAGTTCTATATCATCAGCTCCCCAAGTTTCAGGATTTAAAAGGCTTCGACTCTTGAAAGTGTTTTCAACAGCGCGACTTATCTCCTTAAATCTGGTCGCTATAGGGCAGGATTGACCGGATTGTATGAAACTCGACGTAATGGCTGATCACAGAGAGAAGTGACCGACGTTTCTCCAAGTCTCTTGGTTTTCAGTGTTTCTCTGCGTGACGTGACCCAGCTCTCTTTAATTCCCCAAGATATCTTAAAAACTAGCCAGGAAGGAAGTGGGTTTATAGGCAACATCGCCATCACATCGTTGTTCACTTATATATATGGATCTTAATTCTGATGTAAATCTGGCGAAAAATTATTCCTGTCCGAGAGGTTGCTCATCAAGGAATCGTGTTGTCATGTGCAACGTCAATGCTTCTTTTCATTGAGGTCCAAAAGACGATGATAAGATTTGCTTTAAAGGTTTAGCTGGCAAAAATATTGAGACAACGAGGAATCGTGGTAATGGTTTAATTTTATATTTCTTTAATGCTAGCTTGAGAGAGATCACATATGGTAGACTAATACACATTGGGCTCAATCATCCAGAGAGATGAGCACGGAAGATCCTGTAAAAAGCAGAAATTCCTGGATTGTCGTCTTTATCGCAGAGTCTATCGTGATCGTGATGAGCAATGCCCTCACTCTGTTGGTATTTGCTAAAATCCGCCATCTACGCAAGTGCAGTACTTACCTAATAATGAACCTGGCTGTGGCAGATTTGTTGGTGGGCGCTCTTACGGTGCCTACATCAGTATTGTATTTTTTTTATGAAGATGAAAACCAAGTCACCCCCTCAAGAGTCGCCAAAACAGTCATTACATTCGTCTTCCCGTTAGCCTCGCAATTGAATCTTTGTTTGATTTCCACGGAGCGGTTACATGCAACCCTTTTGCCATTTAGGCATTGCTTGTTTGGGAAAAGGTTTTACTTTAGAACTATCCTAGGTAGCTGGTTGATAAACTTTGTCATAGCTTCTATTATGGCTTGGCTGGACATCGCAGATTTTCATCCAGAGTTCTTGTACGTGCACGGTGCATTGGTTGCACTTTTTGTGGTTTTTATCGCAGTTTCTCACATCATAGTGTTTCTAAAGATCCAAAGTAGCCGTCATTCTCCACCGTGTAGTTCAATACGAAAAGAAAGAAAGCTTACAGTAACACTTTTCATAGCAACTGCGGTTTCTGTTCTGACTATTCTGCCTTTTGCCGTCAACTCTGCCATGCCAGGCGAAATACAAGATAGAGTGACCACTTTTCCGATCCACATTGACTTTGCATTCGTTGCACTTTATAATTTGAGTTCAATGGTGAATCCTTTCGTTTATGCAATACGATTACAGGAATTTAGAGGTCAAATTAGTAAGCTTATAAGACGATAAAGCGAGGCGGACGCAAAGAGGACGGCAAACTGAGGAAACCCCTGCAGATAGTTTCTAACCCCATGCCATTCAAATGGCGAGGCATACAAGTCATAGTGGATCAAAATGCTGAGGCATTGACTATGATAGGTGGCCTCGGATAAATAAACAAGTTTAGAAGTGTTATTAGGTCTAATCATTATGCTTACAAAAAAGATCTTAACATTATCAAAGTCCAGGTGAAGATGACGGTTCATGATGGTTTCGCCCCATTACAACTTAGTGCCTACCCGGTTTGCCCCCGCCCCGGAGACGCATTGAAAGATTTTGTGGGAGAGATGGTGACCTTAATTCGGACTTACTACTTCAGGAGGCGAAATTGCTGAGGAGCCACGAACTTGGAAGCTCGCATTAAAGTTAAACCTCTAGATACCAAGAGGCTCAATCAATTAACTATTGGGACCTAGCATGAACTTTTTTTATTACGTTTAATCTTACTTCAAGGTCCTTGCTACTAAATTAATAATGTTTAGATGTTTTCAGGAATTGAATATTAGAACTCTGAAAACACTATGGCTGTTAAAATGATTGAGCTAAATGCTTTATTGAATTGCTAAATAATGCCTTGGGAATATGTACTTAAATAAAATATCTCATTTAATTTCAATTATGATTAAAAAGAAGTGATTAAAATCGTGCCCAGGCTAATTGAGTTATTGTCCATCATTAAAGATGTTTTGGTTCTTGAGAATAAAAGTACCATGGGGAAAGACGACCAAATACCTCATTCACTGTCTCTGCGAACTTCAAAATCCTCTTTAGTAAAAAATAATATTAGATAACTGCAGTCATAATAGATTTTACATAATTTTTTATTCCGTTATTATTCCTTTATGTAAACTTTTTCAAGCGTTGCAAGTTAGCTGCAGGTAATGTTTTTGTATCATTCAACGTTTACTGTTGATTGCGTCGTCTTCTATTACACTCATACAGAGACAAATCTGGCGACTATGGACGTCATTCACGTTTTATTAAAGAATGGTTATGACTCGTAGACCTGGAATTTATCTGTTTTTGTCTTTTTTCTAATCTATACGTTCCACCACCGATTATGACTAAAACTGAAAAATACTGAGAGTCAGCAAAGGCCAGTATCAGCGAATGGAATTGAAGAGCACTTGCGATTAGATCATACGTTTCGTTCGTTTGCCAGTTTTATTTCTATTGCAACCTCGATTTCGCTTTACGTATTGGTGAGTTTTTTGTACCTAGGAATCATACTTTCTCATACGGTAAACATGTTTTTGAATATCTTGGTCCAAAGCAATGGTGAAAAGTACTAAAGGAGGTTTGAGAGTTTTATAGCCTGCAGAGCAGGCGTTCTTGTGGAGTTTGGGCGAAAATTAGGACTTTGGGCTTTCTGTTTTATTTTCCAGACCGCGCGTAAAATGGAGCGAGGCGAACAATTAGAAGGTGGGGGGAGGGGGAGAGGAGAGAAGGGAACGCCTGCCAGCAGCACTTGAAAATTTGAAAAACGCCCCCTAATTAGATATGCACGAGTAACGATAANCGTTCGGCGACATGTGAACACAAATTTTGACACATGTGATTTCCCTTCGAATAACAACAAATTTTGACAAGCAACGGAAGTGAAAATCCACTTCCGTCGCGCCACCTGATTGGCCAATTGTTTGCGCATTGTCGTTACTCGTGCATATCTAATTGGGGGGCGTTTTTCAAATTTTCAAGTGCTGCTGGAAGGCGTTCCCTTCTCTCCTCTCCCCCTCCCCCCACCTTCTAATTGTTCGCCTCGCTCCATTTTACGCGCGGTCTGGAAAATAAAAAAAGAAAGCCCAAAGTCCTAATTTTCGCCCAAACTCCATAAGAACGCCTGCTCTGCAGGCTAAGAGTTTTAGGGTGCAAACAATTATATGTCGGTTTTTGTCGAACCAAATAGAAGCTATTGTTGGTAGGGTTATCTTTTATGTGTGTTTTTACTAAAAGAATCACTCTACTCTGATCGGCTTACCGATTGCAACATTATTAAAACCAATTCGGCCCTACGCGCCTCGTTAGCCATTTGATCATCTCATATTCGATGCTCCTTCATAGAATAATTGTTAGATATTCACTATTCCAGAATTATAAACCTAGTTAACTTCGTATATACAAAACACGTTTACTCAAGAATTATTCTGATTTAGGGACTTTGATATTCATGTCCTGAGGAATTAAGATGTTGAGGGCAGTGTCCCCTAACATTTCTTATTTAATCTGTACAGATTATTCGCTTTACTGAGTGTTTTTAATCCGATACGAAAATATAGTTTGCCCCAAGCCTAAATTCAGGCTAGAATGCCCGAAATAGTTGAATATAACTTGTGTACTTCCGAATTTGATCGTTTTATTCAGAAATATACAAGCCATAAATTCAGAGTAATGAGAGATCAAACAGTTGATCGATATCCAGTGAAGCAAACGGCCTACTTTTTGCGAACAAAGACGGTTTTTTTTCGTTGTTTAACCAGCGAAGCTACTCATGTTTGTTCTATTATTACAATTTACTCAAGGCTGACATGGCTTTCGTCGCCTCGCAGGGGTTTAACTCGTACAAAAATTTTCACAAAGCTGTCAAAGGACTGGTCTTGTGGTCTTGAAACAAGCTGTCAAAGGACTGGTCTTGTGGTCTTGAAACATTTTGAATTAGGTCTTCCTTGTTGAAAAGACCGCGCTACAGAAGCATGGTATTTTTTTTCCAGAAGTTATAAAAATTTTGCAGCAGTGAACTGACTTAAAAAGAAGACAAAGGGCTTCCTTTATGCATGCTTCGAAGTTCCCCACGATTCCCTAGTAACTACTTTTCAGTGTGTCAATAATAAATTTTCGAGTCTACTCTAAATTACCGCGTTTCGCTTTTAAGGGCTAATGTCGCCCAACATCAGTTTATGAAACATCACTTTCATCCTTACACGCGACAGACGGTGAGTTGAAACTTTTACTGTAAAGTAATATTTCAAAATTAAAGCACAGGTTTAATGGAAACCCTTGCTTGTTGGGTTTTGTAAATCGAAAATAGTCGCTATTATCGAGTGAAAAGGAGAAATTTCCGCAATTGTTGTTTGACGGAGGCAGTTTATTTTTGCCTTCGCTTGAGTCTTAGACTTAGAAAACAAATCCTCATTGTGTGGTTAATAATATTCCATCAGGTTCTAACATAATCACAATCTTCTTTACAAGAACGATTTTCCATAAATCTAAAAGACGATTTATACTTGTAATCCAAACAACCAAATCTCGGTGTATGAAAGTTATCGTCGGTTCTTGTCTACTGCGTTTGTCATAAAACTCAACGCGAAAGGAAGGAAACAGCATATGTCGGAGACCAAATTTTGGTAGAGTCAATCGACCACTCATGTATGGCTGGCACAGGTCAAGAAAAAGTAGGAGAAAATGGAAATTTATTAAGGTAGGAGAAAAGTCAGGGAATTTCGCTTTCGCTCAGTGAAAATTTACATCTTTGTCAGAAGTCAAGGAAAAGTGAAATTTTGTGTAGACATTAAGTTGTTCATCTTGTCTTAGCGCTCTTCATGTTGAAAATGGTGACACCCTCCTTTTTGTCATGCCGATGATGCTCGTGTACATTGTTTAGTACAGTTGAGACTTTCTTTTTCCCTTTGTAATAAAAGTCCAAGTTTGTGCATGAATTCATACATCTTTCTTGTTCTTCCATATTTCAAATTAATTTGAACATTTCACAAACGTGAAAGGTAGGATTGGTAGAGTTTTGTTGAATGTAATTGCACGACATGCTGATGGTGTGTTTCCAAGAAAAAATCATTTTTCTATGTTACCGAAGGTATTATCAATTTATGTACACTGTTTGTGACGCGCCTAAAGTATAAAGTTACAAGTGAAGATGATGCCTGTGAGTGGAGATTGAAGGCCATTATCAGGACTCGTTTGTGAAATTGTTAGTCTAGTTGGCCAGGGGTATTTTACGTTTGCAAAGAAAGAGTAAGGGAAAGTCAGAGAAATCCTTTGTATGTGGCTGTCATGTTATGGATGCTTTCTGTATGCAGCAATGATTACTAATATTTGGCCTTAAGAAGATGCAACTGACGGATGAAATGAGCTCATTTCTCAATCTTATACAAGAAAAGCAGGAAACTATTCTCTCGAGATAATTTTTTTTCATTATTAGTTAGGCATCGGTTTTCTGCCCTTCTCATTAAACTAGTTTACTTGACATGATGACGAGAGGTCAGAGGAGCTATTATCACTATTCCTTGACGTTAAACTGAGAATGTTCATTATAAAGGATGATTCTTAAGTACTCACCCACTTTCCCAAGAAGTATGTCACGACCATGTCCAATTGGATTTTCTAAAATCATTCATAATACTGCCATCATTGTTTTCAGGATCTCCCTAACTAGTCACGTATGTCTTTACATTCTTCAAGATGATTTTGACTGGAACACGCCATTACTAAACAAGATTCAAACAGACGCAGAACTTAATCTGAACCAGCGAAAAATAAATGACCGGGCCAAAATATACAAAGACCTGCAAAGTGCAAAATAAACCCCAACATAATGAAACAGAAGAAGCACACAATGTGAGACTAATCAACGAAGTCACAAGCACGAAAAACTAAAATAAAGCAAAAAACGAAAAGCACGAGCAAAGACAATAATCCTGGCTTACTAAAACAAAATCCTCAACTGGAGACAATTGTGTGAATTATTATTAAGGGACAAGGCCAGCAAAGATGATAAATAACTTAGACGAAATCTCTCCCTCGATTTCATGTAAAAGGATAAGTAAGCTTTGTGAAAGTGATGAAGGTGAGAGCGCTTGCCCCGTAAAATTCGTATGTTATAATTTCAGTTAAAGCAACTAGATGGAAGAGCTGAGGAGTCCACTTTCAACCACGTGTATTTACTGTTTTCACTCTGGATTACTCTGACCGAGGTATGTGTGGCATGTTTACAACGAAATGGCTTTGGGTCTATATCTTCTGCGAAAGGGAAATAGGAACTAAGTCTTGAATCAATATCAAGGATTTTTCTGTGGAAATAACTTTCAGCTTATCTTAAATTAAGCAATCGATATCGTTTCACTAAACATTCGAGTAATTTTTTTACCCTCTAGGGAAATTTGTGGTGAACGAAAATGATGACGATTCGCTTGTGCACTCCTAAATGCTTTGTTATCTTACTTGGAATCACAAGTCTGGTGTTAATAGCCAGAACGAATTTGTATAAAGAGTCATTTGGATCGGACGATGGTAATGTATTCCAGAAGATGCGCTCTAAAGTACTATTATTCAATTCCCTAGGCACGTTTTTGTTCGAAGTTTGACTAGGTTTTGGCTTTTGGGCAATTTTTTTGCAATAGAAAGATATCTGAGTTAGAAAATTTGATAAATAGACGTAATGATCCTCGCATTTCTCAACGCATACTGCACTATTGTAAATACCAAAAGTTAAAAAAAGCGAGAGTCTGTGGCCGAGGATCATTTCGTTATTGCATCTGTCTTTTCCTTTTGGCTTTCATATGCAACTAATTAAAGACCCATGGTCTTTAATCAATACTTTGCCGATTAAGCTATATCACAAGAACAAGTGAACGCGGAAATGAGGAAGTTTGAAGTTGTAACTTTCGATCAGATCCAATCCTATCATTTTAAGACTTGTCCACCAATCGAAGCCGGATCAAATACTAGCAAATACTTCAATCATCGAAAACCAAACTTAATATTTACTTTTTCATAAAAGCTTAACTACTCTCGAGGTAAGCTACATGCATGTTCAGCTATCTCTACTTCTCATTTACAATCACATTTAATTCCGTACTAACTTCTCGCTGGAAATGATTGCACTACTGTGCTTAAATTGACTGAAATCTTGCACGCCAGAAAACTTTCATTCTATATCTTATGTCTGATTTTTCTATGCTAGGGAGGTCTTGTAAGCCAGAGCCTCTACTTGACAGCATAGCAAGGGTAAACGGAATGTTCGATGACCTCAAGACATTTGTGATGTTTATTGGATACTCACAAAGTGTAGAGAGTCATACTGGCGCCATATTAGACGCGCATCCTCAGATTGTCATTCCGCAAGAGTACGATGTCTTGGGGAACTGGAAAATGTATCAAGACAAGAAGCTTAGAGATCGTGGCAAGCAAACGCATATGCTGTTTTTCTTCTTGTATTATCTTTCTACTTTTCAAGCCATTTTTCGAAACCATGCTAATAAACCAAGCCAGTTCTGGGTGTGGACATCTAAAGTCGAGAATGCTCAGCATTACCCACTTTCTGATTCATGGCAGGGGACAACAAATGGCAAGATTAAGGTAATCTTCAGAGCAGCTTTCAAAAAAATGTTAAACATGATGATTTTAGTCAAACAATCAATCAGTCGCTGAGTTAGAAAAATAAGTAAATTTATTGGAACGAAATAGTTTCTAGCACTAAAGAAATACTGATTTTAAAAACCCATTTACTTTTTTTTGCATATATACGACACGGGAGGACTAGCAGAATATTTCCGATTTTGACTATTTGGTACTTTTGTTTGCATATGTCTGTGATAAAGACAGACAGACAGACAGACAGACATCTATATTTATACAGGATAGCCCCTTCAGTGTAGTAAACACTGGTATCAACGGGGGTCCTGTTACCCACCCATCCCACCCCAGGGGAGGACATCCATCACACAGTAATCTCGTGCGTGGGAAATTAACGTCTCCTGCCCCTAACCCTGCAGGAGACGGGACCTCCATTTATTCGTCCCTATCCGAGAAGACTAGAATATCTAACCATTTCTTGATGTTAAAGAAAGGAAGCATATTCTTCTCAGTTAATTTTAAGACCCTGAGTGTTGGTCCGGCCGGTATTGAACTCTCGACCTCCCGCACAGCAGTCCGGCGCTCTCCCAATTGAGCTAACCAGGCGGCGGTAAAAAAAATAGTT